GGAGTTGGCTGTCCTTGATCAACCAGCACGGACGCGGAGAAAGCTCGAACTGAATGAAATAGCCAAGCCTTACAACACAACAGAGAAGGGGGTCAAGCTTCTCACACGTACCCTACCAACGCTAGAGGCAACAAGAACGGTGGAGGATAAAAAAAATACAGGTAGGCCCTTGAAGGGGAGGGAAGGGACATGAAATGCCCCCACACACCTGTCAACGAGAGAGCTACACATCGAGAAAACACACCTTGTCAACGAGAGAGCTACACATACCATGTCAACCAGAGAGCTGCAGTCCACACCTTGTCAACCAGAGAGCTACACATACCATGTCAACCAGACAGCTACACATACCATGTCAACCAGAAAGCTGCAGTCCACACCTTGTCAGCGAGAGAGCTACACATACCCATGTCAACCAGAGAGTACAGTACACGCCTCGCCAACGAGAGATGTACACGCCTTGTCAGTATGTAGGAGAGCGACACACCTTGTCAAAAGAGAGAGTTTACAGTTGACACCATGTCAACGAGAGAGCTACACAGTACACAACACACCTTATCAACGAGAGAGGCGCACATGATCACCGGCTGCCTGACCCTGCCCGCAGCGGTGGATTGCTCCAAGGACGCTGAGGTCGCGGACGCGACCGTCTGTAGGCGACATGCATTAATAGGTAGTAGTCGGAGGTGGAGACAGCGTGGAGAAACAAAGTAATTGACGATTTCGTAGAATCAAGGCCGGGTATGGATGACCATTTCAGGCGGCAGCGGCGGCAAGGACTAAATAGTTTAAGCCTGCCTGCTATGAATCATGAGTGTGCGCCGTTTCGTCGTCTTCGCCGTGACATCACAAAAGAAGCATGAGCGTGCTTGACATAAGAAAAAAATAGAAAGAGAGAGAGAGTTAACAAACGATAATTGAAGTGCTGCGCTCTGTGTGCGTGTACGCTCATCACCGGTCTGCTACACCAAGCCACAAAAAAGCAAAGAAGGGATGCACCAATCTCGCTTGAGCGGAATAACCATGGACAAATATTGTCGTTCTTCAAGGGATATTTCGCCCATGGGCGAGAAACGGTATTCCTCGTCTTTTCCAGGGTAAAAAAAAAAACATGTACCTAAGTAGTGTTTCCGATCGGGAAGGCTTGAGGTGTTCCGGGTGAGAAAGGGTGCCACAGAGGATGAGACGGGATGACGGCAGGCAGAGTTTCCAGGTACATGGGCCAGAACGGCGCGGAACGGCTTCAACATACTAACACGCAGGCGAGCTAGCTTGGATGCTGTGCTTGTGCATGACGGAAGAAAACATACGCGGGCGTGAGGCTAACACCTCCGTTGTCTCATGCGGCCGTCCAAGCATACACCCATATGCTGTAAACAGCAGCTTCTTCGGTGCGGGGACTGTTCCCATCAACATGTAAGCACTCACCAGGTCCAGAGTATCCCACGGGATGATCTTCTGCTGTATGTGGCTGCTGTCCCCACCGCCACCGCCGCCGCTCTTGAGAGAAAGCCCAGCCTCCTCGCCTACTCCATCTGCTGCTCCTGCTCCTGCTCGTCCTCCCTCTTCCTCGAACCACGCCCCGCTGTCAACCGCAGCCGCAGTCTGTAGCCACGCCCGTCCGTCCTCAAGGACCTGGACTTTGTCAAGGAGCGCTTCGTTCCAGATCTCATCCATGGTCTGCCGTCAAGAGTCCACGCGGGCACAGGGGGTTAGGGAGGTGGAGGGTAGGTGAGGCAGAGACAGACAAGACAGATAGACAGACAGGCAGACAGGCAGACAGACAGACAGACGGACAGCCGGACAGACAGACAGACAGACAGGCAGACAGACAGACAGACAGACAGACAGACAGACAGACAGACAGACAGACAGACAGACAGACAGACAGACAGNNTAGAAAGACGGAAAGAGACACAAATGGAGGGACAGAGATGCACAGAGACACATAGGCGGACAGAGCGACAGGCACACAGAACGAGAGACACAAACCGAATGGTGCAGCGGATGGCCACAAACTCGTTCTGATGCTGATGAGGCTAAAAGCGATGTGCGTTGCAAACCTCTAAGGTGGTAAATTATCGCGACAAGCAGGGATCAGGAGCCCGGCCCTGCAAACAGCGTTGGTGGTGGTAGTCCGGCCGAACACAAATGGCCTTGATTCGCGTCAGGGTGCCTACCCTACGGGCCTCTCGCCCTGCCCACTCCGACGAGTCTAGCTTTCGTCTGAAAAACTTGTGTGTTTTTCATCATGGAGCCTTGCTGATGCCGAGCCCTGGGTAGGCATTACAATCCATTCTTTACCCTCCACTAGTTGGAACCGGCGCCCAAACGAAACGCCACACAGAAAACAAACTTAGATTCAAGCCTGCCGAATACCGTTTCCCTGTTGTTATCGGATGTATCGGTGGAGAGAGTCGTGTGGTTGTCCACACGCGCGTATCTATGTGTCCGTCCCTTCTTCGTTTTCACTCCTTTTTTCGCTTTCGTAGAGAACCGATTCGTGCCAAATATATATTTCGGACCGATTGATGATGTTGTCCGCGATAGACACGACCCACCTCTTTGAACAGCTCGCACATGTGGGTAGGGGTGATTTCGCCCGCGGCTCCGGTGCCGTGGGCCTCGAGCATCCCTTCCACGGTGCACAACGCGTCGCAGTCGGTTTGGCCGAAGGCCTCTAGCTGCCGCTGTCTCATTTTTATCTTTAAGCGCCGTGAGGGAAGCGAAGCAGCAGCAGCAGCAGCAGCGAGAGGCGAGACAGCGGCAGAGACAGGAAAGTCGATCGTACGTATCATGGGGTGAACGAAACCTTGCATCACTCGTACCCACTCTTTCAATGAATAGAGCCAGCAAGAAACGAATCATCCCATAGAAGCAGCAAAACCTAATAGACCTACGTACCATCTCCGGATTATCGTGCAGGAAATCGAACAGCGCCTGCAGGTGGGGCTCCCCGTGGACGATCCTGGTCGCACCACCATCAAGACCACCACCACCATCACCATTGTCTCCCCCCCTCCCAGCAGCAGCAGCAGCAGCGAACTCGGGCAGGACGGAGTGGCAGACAAGCTGGGCTATCAGCCTCCCCATCACGTGAGTCCCTACCACCCACGGGAGACACGCCCGGAACATGAGTACACGGTGCCGCGCAGACAGACCGCCTGCGATACGCCGGCACCGGGGGGAGGTGGGGGCGTCGGGACGAGAATATGAACATTTATATGCATATGCACACCGTGAGATACTTCTCTCGACCGGAGAACTTCGGCAACTCTCCCCGAAAAACAATTCGATGCATGCAAACGTTTGGTTCTGGGGCGAGGGGGGGGGGGCAGTTCTAGGGGGAAGCCGTATACACGCTGTGTGTTCGACGGATATAGCTTTCCGTTTGGTGAAGAAAGGGGCCACCACCCTGTGGCGCGGTGAGCTTGGCGCAGACGAGTGCATGCACGGTCCTCAAGACGAAGAGAGAGGGGCTCGTGTGTGTGTGTGTGTGTGTGGGTGAGTGTGTCTCATGGATTGGCATCGGCCGCGCTAACCGGCTGACCCAAAAAAAATACGTCAGTCTTGCAGCGGGAAAAAGAACGCGAAGACAATTTTAATTCCAAGGGTTCTACCGACGGTGTGTGTGTGTGTGTGTGTGTGTGTGTGCGTGTCGGGCAGAGAGGAGCCCGGAACGGAAGATGTGCAACCGACGTCGGAGGAGAGAGGAACGAACAGCTAGTTCCTCCCAACCGGACTATGAGCAACGGAAGTCGGAGAGAAGACGGTGGAAGGACTAACCCCGCAGGGGCGCGACCCTTTCGAGGCCGTAACGACAAGGGCAATTCACACCTCACGAGGCATTAAGAATTGGGACGCATGTTCGCGAGGCAGGGGAGGCATGCGGGGGGGGGGGGGTACTCATAGTCGTGCATGCCGTAGACGTTAGACCATTGACCTCGCATCCCTACAACGCCGGGACGGAGCATGCCGGGTTCTCACCGGACCAGGCTCTCACATCGCGCGAAGCGCCGTGAGATATTCGGCGAATCGCATGGAGGGTGCGCTGCACCCTGCAAAAGGGTGTTCAGCATCTTGTGCTTACTTCCTTGCATACGGATGACAGCTGCGTATGACATAATTTATTTTCTGGTGCTTCACTTCCAGAGACAGTTGTAAGCAC